TTTCTAATTGACCAATGAATGATGCTAAAAACCCACGCCTAGTTAAACACATCCACTTAAAGTATAAAATATACCAACAGATATTAACTTAACAAAATATAAAAGGTTACTAATGTGATTTCACATTCCATACCACACTCTCCTAACGATTAAGACACTACCACGTGTTTTAGTTTACTCTCAAAAAGCACATCCATAATAACCTAAAAATACTCATCCATTTTCTAATTACATATCCTTGTGAGGCCACATTTTCCTAGTATACTTCAACCAAAATAACAAAAGGCAACACAAGCACAAGCAGATATAAGGTCCTGGCTGTCCTCTATAAGCCAAATAGATATAAAGAGATTTGCAAAAATTTAAAACAAAGTCATGTCTTCTATTTTTAAATTTGAATGACATAATTTTTATTTTTAAAAAAAGCATGTTCTTTATGCTAACATTTGATGTGTTATTGTTCATTTGAAATAAATTATTTTTATAATTTCTCAGTTTTAATTTCTATTATAGTGACAACTGATAAATATTATTTACATAAAAAATTCTGAAGAATATAAAGACCAAAAAGTTTGAGAATCACTGGCTTATAGCATATAGACAATTTAAGCAGAACAGCTTCTAAAATTATTTTTTAAAATCATGTGGGAGTCATCATAACTCTCGCATCAATTCTCCAAATCGGTGCCAGAGCACAGCTGAATGCTGAAAACGAGGACTGAATCACCAAGTGCAGCTACAGAGTGCACTGAAATACATACAATAACGCTTTAAGAGTGTTCCTTGGAATACCCATTCTAGCAGCAAGACAGTCTGTTTGCAACCCTCTACATACAAATGCTGGAATAAAGGTCACAAACATCCTCTTAAATGCAAGGCTGAGCATACAAGTAAGGGAAAGCCTCCAACGGGCCTAAAGAAAAGAAGGGAAATGCAGAGTTTTGAGCCAGCTCTGATGTGCTGGTGGCCTGTGAGCATTTGCCACACTCAAATCCAAAGCCGTTCAGCTTTAGCCACAGCGCCAGTCGCTCGGGGTACGTCCTGGATCTGGGACTTCTACATAAGGTGAGGGGAAGGAGATACCATCTCCCTCTCCATCAACAAAACTGCTAAGCCCAATGAAAGGGTAGGTTAGAAAAACAAAACAAACTGCTCCCTGACATAGGTCATAGCATAAAAACTTGTCTGCTTTGACACAAACTCAATTTTTTAAAGAAATCTCTCATAGAGTTAGGATACCTAATTCATAATACTTTCATGTTCCAAGGAATACTAACCCAAGGAATTAACATAAATACCCCTATAGTATTTGTGAATAAAAATTATTTCTTGAGAGAGGCAGCCTTTTCTCCGGGTCCCTCAGGATGTCCACAGATTTTTTTAAAAAAAATCTTAATCAGAGCTCAAATACAAAAGTATATAGCCTGTGAGGGACAAGTCGCCATGGACAGGATTCAGGAAAAAAAAGAAATGGAGCCAGAGTGACAAGAATGTCAATATTAAAATTATTAGTTAGTGACTATTCAAAAATATACTTTAAATGGTTAGTACCTAAAAGAAGAGACTGAAAACATGAGGAAAACTCACTGTATTATTGAAACACCCAGCAGATAGAGGAAAAAACGATAAATGGAATCTCTAGAAATAAGAGTTATTAAAATAAAGAATCTTGATAAATAAGTTAAACAGATAAAATAGCATATTAAGAAAATAGGAAATTTGTATAAACTGATAAAAATAGCCGAAAAAGTTACCTACAGCACAAAACACAGAGGTGGATATGAAGAATAAATATATACTTCTCACCTTGAGTGTTCTAGCTGTATTTTCCTCTATTATACAAACACTTCGTGTTATAAAGTATAATGATTCTCATTATACTAAGAAGATCTGAAGCAGAGACCAGTAGCACTATTTACTAACAATGATGCTGGGCATATTTATAACCTCTCTGCAGGAAATAAAAGGAAGTGATAAAAACTAGTGCATATTGAGCACCAATTAAAAACTACCTGCCACCCAAGCTGGTTTGGCTCAGTGGATAGAGCGTCGGCCTGCGGACTGAAGGGTCCTAGGTTTCAATCAAGGGCACATGCCCTGGTTGCAGGCTCGATCCCCAGGAGGGGGCATACATGAGGCAGCCAATCAATGATTCCCTCTCATCATTGATGCTTCTATCTCTCTCTCCCTCTCCCTTCCTCTCTGAAATCAATAAAAATATATATTAAAAAAACTAGCTGCCTCTGCAAGTGTCAGAGCTTCACAACATTCTGTGAAGTCGATAACATAGCCTCTATTTTTGTGCCAAATGTAACTGACATTTTAATACAATCACAGAACGGTCCATAACAACATGTAGACACTAAACCTCACAACTAAGAAGTGTGGTGCTAGTATTTTCTCCATTTATTCATGAGGGAATTTAGACATGAAAGAAGCAATATTGGGAAATTTCACATGTTAATTATAAAATTTTTGCTTTATAAAATAAATAGAGATGAGGCCCAGCTGGTGTGGTTCAGTGATTGAGCCTTGGTTGAGGGCTCGATCCCCAATGGAGGGCGTGCAGGCAGCAGCCAATCAATGATTCTCTCTCGTCATTGATGTTCCTATCTCTTTCTCCCTTCCTCTCTGAAATCAATAATACATTTATAAACAAACAAATAAATAAATGTGAGGAACCCAAACTTCTGAGGTGTTAAATAATGTAGGTAACATGAATGTATTTACATTCATGTAGGATCTAGATTCAAATCAGACTCTGACTTAAATCTAGATCTAGCCTGACTTCAAATCCATGTTCTGTTCTACTTCAGGGTTTTCTTTATCTTTGAAATAATCTACACTAATAAAAGACAAAGATGCTAATTGACCATACCTTCGCTACACCCATCAGCCAATCAGAAGAGTATGCAAATTAACCCAACAAAGTTGGCCGTTAAATTTGCACACTATAGGCAGGGCGGGACAGCACTATCCGCCATCTGCCCCGCCACCACCCGGGAGTGAAGCCCGTCAAGGTTTCGCTCCGGCCTCAGGAAGCCCTATTCTTGCAGGAATAGACCTGAGGAAGCCCTATTCTTACAGGAATAGGCCTGAGGAAGCCCTATTCTTGCAGGAATCTTCCTGCAACGGGCCTCTAGTAATGATTATAAAAGCAGAGAGTTCAGATTTTGAAGGAATTAAATGAGATAATGTCCATGAAAGTGTGGGTCAAATTGCAATGCACAGCATAAATCTTAGCATTGCATTTAAACTATAGTCAGGCATTCCTATAGGGAATATAAACAATAATATTGAAATAATTAAGTCTGGTGCCGGATGGGTAGCAGACAGGTCACTTTATGGACAGGACTAATAGAGCTCGGGACTGACCGCATCACTTTCCTGAATATTCAAGCCCACCAAGCTACTTCATGAATCAAATATGCTTTAAGCCAGAAAATAAGTCTCATAGATAATATACATCATGAATATAATGCTATTTTTGGTAAGCAGATTTAGCAAGATGTAAAATAGTCACAATAAAAAAGAAAACATTGCTTCACCTCATCAGTGCTAGCTTCCTTAGTCCATGAGCCCATGCTGTAAAGGGGCATAATTATTGGAAGATACTGCTGATTTTTCTGAGTGCACAAATAAAGCAAGAAATTGGTCTATATTTAAAAAGGCATTAGGGGCAACATAGCTGTTTAAGTGAAGAAAATGTCATTATTTTGAGGCAAACTTTACTGGTAATCAACAGTTTCCATGGTTAAGTTGATTCAAACTATATTAAGATTTAATTTATGGAGACCCAGGCAAGAAGAGCAGAAAACTGCAGGAAGCAGGTAGGTAACATTAGCAAGATCATCCCAAAATCAAGCCAGCTTTTTCTCAGTTGTCCAGCTCTTTTTATGCTTAAAGTTCCTTCAGAACCAAACATTCCTTTGACATCGTTGTCCTCTTTACTCTTTTATAACTATTTTCCACTTATTATCTCAGATTTTAATAATCTGAGAAGGTTGATGATAACTGAAGTTAATGGAATTAGTTAGAATTATTTTTTTAAATACCCATAACCCCTTATTCTGTTTTTATCCCCTTTTTATTGTTCATCTTACATAGAACCTCAAGATGGTTAAGATACTTATTACCCTGTAGAAATGAACCCCACATGATGTCAAAACCAAATTATGACTCTTACATATGTCTTATATGTACATATATATGGTCATTCCCTCAAACTTAAGAACTCTGGTTGTATGGATTCTATTGGCTAAATGGTTATGCTTTAGGAAGTTTAGATATTTAGGACAAAAATACAGAAAATTTGCTACTTCATGTATAGAAAATTGTCTTTAGTCAAATTAAATAGACTGTTATTTTACTGCAAATAACTTCAAGCATATATAACTTAAAAACAAGTATTTTAGCCTAAAAAAGCCAATCATACCATCATTAATATATTTTGCCTTGCTTTACCAAAAATAACAGAATTTTATTAAACCCATATTTATAGCTCTGAGAAAATAAAGACTCATTATATTCTTTTTTCTTTAAATCCTCACCCAAGGATATTATTTTATTTATTTTTAGAGAGAAGGGAAGGGGGGAGGGAAGGGGAAAGGGAGAGGGAGGGAAGAGCGAGAGAAACATCGATGTGAGAGAAAAATATAGATCAGTTGCCTCCCATATGCGCCCTGACAAGGAATTGAACCAGCAACCTTTTGGTGTAGAGGACAGCACTCCAACCAACTGAGCCACCGGGGACCCATTATAGTCTTAAAGCATAATTTAATTGTTTTCAAATACAGTGTATACATATCTTTAAGCTGTTCCATTCATAACTGAAGCGTTGGCAAATGATTAAACATATAGGTTGAAAATATAGATCTCTGACATTCTAAAAATATCCTATTACAAACAGCACCCTGCAATAATTTCCTATATTTAAACAAATGATGTGTTCAAGGTCCCCAGAACTCCTCAAAACTGTAAAAATTTATATAGACACTTACCAACAGTATCGCATGGTTCATCTTTGTGTACACAGAAATCTTTCCTAGAAAGAAAAATATAAAGTTAGAAACTTTTCCAAAAATAATAGAGACTATGTAACTTATTTTAATATTTGTTTGAATAATAAGCCACTATCTTTATCTCCAAGAATTTAATAAAACTGAATATCAGATTAAATAATTTTTTAGTTCTAAGAAAATGTGAGAAATTTTTATACCTTTTTACCTGATATGATCCTGAAACACATTCTCCTACTTCACAGACAATATTTCCAAAGTAAAATTCCATCCTGTTTTTATTTTTACAGGATTTCATATTTTTATTATAAAATAATAGTATCTGGTATTGGGACATGGCTTCCTGTTTAAAAACTATTGTAAGATCTCTACTTCACATGAGTCAAAAATAATTTCCAGATTGCAGATTTAAACGTGAGAAGTACAACTTAAAACAACATAACATTTTGAGAGAACCAAGATGGCGGCATAGGTTAACGCCGGAGTTTGCTGCTTTGAACAACTACTTCAAAAGTGAAACTAAAAGACGGAACGGACGTCACCCAGAACCACAGGAACGCTGGCTGAGTGGAAGTCCTACAACTAGGAGGAAAGAGAAACGCATACGGACACTCAGAGGAGCCGCAGTGCTGAAGTCAAATTCTGAGGTGCAGAGCGCGCGGAGCGGGCTGGCGGCGGAGGGCGCGGTTGGCGTTTTCAATCGGGAGGGAGTCGCAGACTCTGAGCTCCAGATACAGGCGAGTCTTTAGGGACCCAGACTCAAACGGGAGAAGCGGGACTGTCTGGCTTCGGTCAGAGCGAGTGCAGCTTTCTCTCCCCGAGCTTTGCAGCGGGTGCTGGGACTCAGAGAGGCAGAGCCCCTGGGGACAGGACTGAGAGCCGCCATAACTGCTCTCTCCGGCCCACCCTGTTGATCCTGTGCCACCCGCCCTGCCCAAGCCCTGCACTGAGGCATTTGCCGGATAGCCTCAGGCAAAGGCTAGATTAGCACCTCCCTAGAGGACAGAAGTTCTCTCACTGCAGACACAGCTGATTCTCATAGCCACTTGGCCTGGAGGTCAAACCCTCCCTGGTATTAGCTACAACAATCAAGGTTTAACTATAAGACTGCGAACAAAGACCACTAGGGGGTGCACCAAGGAAGCATAACAAAATGCGGAGACAAAGAAACAGGACAAAATTGTCAATAGAAGATATAGAGTTCAGAACCACACTTTTAAGGTCTCTCAAGAACTGTTTAGAAGCTGCTGATAAACTTAATGAGATCTACAAGAAAACTAATGAGACCCTCGATGTTATATTGGGGAACCAACTAGAAATTAAGCATACACGGACTGAAATAACGAATATTATACAGACTCCCGACAGCAGACCAGAGGAGCGCAAGAATCAAGTCAATGACTTGAAATGCGAGGAAGCAAAAAAACACCCAACCGGAAAAGCAAAATGAAAAAAGAATCCAAAAATGCGAGGATAGTGTAAGGAGCCTCTGGGACAGCTTCAAGCGTACCAACATCAGAATTATAGGGGAAGATGAGAGAGAGCAAGATATTGAAAACCTATTTGAAGAAATAATGACAGAAAACTTCCCCCACCTGGTGAAAGAAATGGACTTACAGGTCCAAGAAGCGCGGAGAACCCCAAACAAAAGGAATCCAAAGAGGACCACACCAAGACACATCATAATTAAAATGCCAAGAGCAAAAGACAAAGAGAGAATCTTAAAAGCAGCAAGAGAAAGAAACTCAGTTACCTACAAGGGAATACCCATACGACTGTCAGCTGATTTCTCAACAGAAACTTTGCAGGCCAGAAGGGAGTGGCAAGAAATATTCAAAGTGATGAATACCAAGAACCTACAACCAAGATTACTTTATCCAGCAAAGCTATCATTCAGAATTGAAGGTCAGATAAAGAGCTTCACAGATAAGGAAAAGCTAAAGGAGTTCATCACCACCAAACCAGGATTATATGAAATGCTGAAAGGTATCCTTTAAGAAGAGGAAGAGGAAGAAAAAGGTAAAGATACAAATTATGAACAACAAATATGCATCTATCAACAAGTGAATCTAAGAATCAAGTGAATAAATAATCTGATGAACAGAAAAAAAAACACAAAAAAAAAAACAACATAACATTTTATATCATAAGGTTAGCAAATTTTTAAAAAGACTGATAGTAATTGTTCTAATAGAGCATGAATTTAGTATTTATTTAGAATTTAGTATTTTTACACAGCTGGGATCTAACCATGAATAACAGTCTATGATTTGCTCTTTACTTGACTACTATGTCTTGGAGAGCATTCTATAACAAAGTATAAAATTTTGAGGCACACTATTTGAAAGCAAAATGTTTAGCATTCATAAATATAGATTAGAAGTCTGCAATCACCTTGCTCTTCTTCCATACACTTGCATTCTAGTTAATTTCTTTTTTTTAGTTATAACTGGCATACGTCGTGGTCTCTGGTTAAGTTTAAAATTTATTTTTGTCTTTGTAGTTCTACAGTCTTACTCAGATGTGTCTAGATACTAAGTTTGTTTCTATTTATCTTCTTTGGCATTGGTATGTTTTCAATTAGAAGATCCATGAACACATGAAAACTCTTACCATTTTCTATTTAGCTAATTCCTCTCACGTTCTCTCTACTCTCTTCTCCTGAAACTCCTTCTGGTGCATATAAGTCCTCATTTTAATGTCTGTAACTCTCAAGCACAGTTTAGTATTTCCATCTGTTAACCATTCTGTGCAGCCTTCGGGGAGAATTCCCTCAGCTCTATCATCCAGTTTTCTAGCGCTCCCTTCATCTGCATCTAATCTGATTTCCAACTTACAAATTAAGATTTCAAGTATAAATACATTTATTTTATAGGGGTTTAATTTTCTTTAATTTTCAAGTCAACTGTTTTTTAAAACCACCTTATTCTAACATTTTGGAATGTTTTTGTGTGCTTTTAATTATGAGAATATGCTTTTATAATCATTGTCAGCCTTTTTTTTAAAAGTATTCTTTATCACAATTCTTGGCTTTTACAATGGAAGAGGTTGTCCTTTGGCGTTTTGGAGTTCTACTGTGAACTCATTTAGCTGAACTCAGTGGTGGCTGCCTGTGTAGGGTAAGTTGAAAGAGGGCCACTCAGAGCCCTGCATAGGCTTTTGCTCCGTGCCTGTGGCGGGATGATACCCATGGTAGTGAATCCCAGGGAGGGGCTGCTTCACCTAACTTGGGATCATGGTTGAGACAAAACGCTTCCTGTTGACAATGTATGTTTGTTTGCAGAGCTCTTCCCAGATCACACTTTCATGAAAGGAATAGCCACCTACGGGCTCTGGCTGTATGTCATCGTTTCAGCTCCACTTCCCTACTTTGCACAATCTCAGAGGCTTTTCTTCATGGGGAGCTAAACCCAAGAACCCAGATTTTTAAGTCCAACAAACCTTTCCCAGGGCAGCTATCACATGATCTCAGAAGCATGCTACTTTTTTTTTTTTTTTCTTTGCCAGAGCCCTCTTTGTTTTTGGCTTATTTGTGCATATAAAGGGGTTTTATTACATTTTTTTCTATAATTTCTATATGCCTATAAATGAGAATACTTTCTGATCACCTACTCAGGCAGATTACCACATAATTAAAAGAAATGAACCAATCCGTGACCAATCATATGATAATTAAGCATAGTGAAACATATTTGTTTATTGTTAGTATTAGATCTTAATATACATAGAAACTAGCCATATAAGCTTTATAAACATGGACTGCAACTGATAATATTTTTTCAGAAAATCTAAAGTGGATGATAGCCTAAGAGACTGTAAATGGCCCTGGATCATCCAAACCCAGCAGCTGAGATTTCTAGAGTTTCCTTCTCCATTGTCTTTTTTTTTCCCAACCCCCTGCCCCTTTACTATCTTTCTTAATGCACGGTTCTTTAATTCTCCCCTTGATTCTAAGTACTACACAGAATCTCCTCCAGCTATCAAAAAAAAAAATCCAAAGCAACACTTCTTCTGGTGTAAATTGGTCTCTGTGGTTCAAAACCACCACCAAATGAAACAGGAAAATATATCCCCACCAGTGGTGTAACATATTCAGAGTCTGACTATAACTACAGATAAAGAAGAATGAAAAAGGTTAGCTGACATTTTTTCTTTACCAGTAAATGGCCAGGTAGTTAGTCTTTCTCTGGATCAGGAGATACAGAAATCAAATCTACCACAGGGACACCAGACCTAGAGTATAGGTTGTATATTGCTTAACTCTAGGGGTACGTTTGCATATGCAACACTATAAATGGCTCCCTCTGCTGTTGTGTAGCACACAACCTCCCTATACAACTAGATAAGGTAGGATTCAGTAAGTGCCTCTTATATGCCAAGCATTGGATAAGGGAAGACTACAAAGATAAATAACAAAGGCTTCTCTTCGGAAGGCAAAGAAGAGGATGAACACGATTACCTCTGTAATGTGATAAGGGCCCCAGGATCGGTAAGAAAGAAGCCAGGGAAATTGCATTAAAGAATGGATAGTTCTATTTCGCAACTGACTTTGCCAGCAAATGGAGAGAGAAACACCCAAACAGATGATACTGAATAATAGGTAATGCAGAAAATTAGAGAAACACACAAAATCAATTCTTCACCTTAGGGCCAAGAATTACTGAGTACAAAACATATTCAGATGTAAGGGAAAAGGGACTTCATGTGCTTTTCCTAAACGTACAATACATCATATAATCATGCATGAGGCTGCAACATGACTATTTGATTTACATAATGTGACGCAAGGGACTGCATCTGTAACTAAACAACATGATAAAACTATGACAAATGTACTGCTTATTGTCAAGGGCACTTCGTTCTTCACACAGCCAATTTCTGTTCACTTAGCAAACAGATGAATAAAGCACATTTTTTCGAAAAACACAAGGTCTTTTATCCAAAAGCACTGGAAATACCTCTCAGTACAATTGACGAATGAACATATTGTCAGCAGCACTTCAAAAGTTCAGGTCAGACTGCAATT